TTCGGTTGAAAAGTCGTTACCGAGAGTGGTTTCGCAAATGATGGTGGCCACGCAGCAGCCATCGCATCGGCGGGCATATGGCGCGCGTGCCTCGGGAGCGTGTCGAAGATTGCCGGCGTGCGCCGCGTCGCCGCGGTTTTCTCTATTTTTATTCTCTTTCGTATAAATAGAACGGATTCGTTGCATTGTGCCGGATGAACGAAACATCTTCCCAAAGCGAACGGCTATATCGACTCGTTGAAATCCGCAATTTTGTTGTTGGTACTCTAGGGATCTCGAGGGTCCCAGGAACGCGGCAAGAACTATTCGTGGATTGGATTAACGCGGATGGACGAGCGACCTCGGGAAAAAACGGCAGGAACGGTGCTCCTGCTGGTCGACTGGTCGCATTCGTCGCTTCGAACGAGATAAGCGACCGTGTCTATTTGTCCCCGAGTGCTCGGAGGGAAGTCCAAGCCTTTTGGGGGCACGTTTGTGGCCAAACATCGGCATTATACGCGAGCAGGGCCCACGGAGAACCGTCGAGGCGTGCGCGGCTCGTCTCTAGTCGCTGTGCCGCCTCTCCGTTTGCCCGGAAAAGCTCCGCGGATTTCGACTCCTCGCGACTATCCTTTCGGAAACCTGTCGAAGGCGCTCGGGACTCGCGGCTCGAAATGAAATTACCGATACAACGGCCCGGCGGCGACATCAATGGGCCTGTCAGCCGGATATTCGTTCGACTGTGCTCGTTCGAATTCGATTTGCCCGCCGTGTTTGTCGCGTTTCTTGCACCTTCGACCTGCTCGGCCCGATTCTCGTGCTTTGCCTATGATTCTTGAGATGTCTGTAAGCTAATGGAATTAGTCCTCGATGATCGAGCGTAAAGAATGATGTTGGAATCAGATGAATTTCGGGTGGAAGCAGCGTGGTCGATCATTTTCCTCGAATGTCTCTCGTTTGAGATTGGAATCTTGGGGAAAGTTTGAAAGGAACTTTGCTTGGCTCGGTATTTGTTTCATAGTAGAGTCGCATGATAACGGGTTCAAAGAGTCAGTGTATTTTTATGTATATTGGACCGTCGATAGATGGAATATTTGAATCAGCAAAGTTATCGAGAATCGAGAAGGATCGCGCGCGATTTTTCCCGAAGACACAATGAACTCGGCCATCCCCGTCGTTTGTCCGATCCTTCTCTTTTATTGTCAGCGGGCGGACCCCGTCAAAATATCATAAAGACCGAGCTCCGAGGTTAAAAAACGGTCCCTCGTAAACTCATCATTGGAAGCGGTTACTGCGGATCGCCGAAGAATTCGATCCAGCAGTGACTGGTCCTGGAAAGGGTAGTAAAAGTTTTAAAGCGATCTTACCGGTCAGTTGAACTCGAAGAAGATCGATTAATTACCGATTCGATTCACGCGAAAGGAGAACTATCCGAGATACGTACGATCGCATCGGAATCGCCCCAGCCTCGTTGATCCAATGAAAGCTCCCTTAAAAATCCATCGTCGTCGAAACAGCCGGCGGAAGAAACGAATTCGATTTCGACGACCGTACGAAAATACGGCACACGTTCGAAAGAAAAGACGGGCAAACGGTCGCGAATCGATACGCCTCTCTTTCCGCGACTCGTTTAGGGGGTGGTCCGTCGAGGCGAAGATTCGAGCGAGCAGTTAAACGGACACGACAGCTACCGGAATTTTCTTCTCCCGTGTCCGTTTACCGGGCCAGTTCTCCTTTGATTTTTTCCTGGCCTGCCCCCTTCCCCGCGAAACGCGCAGTCCGTTCTTTGTCTAAAGCATTCGAGCGTGGCCTGGGTACCTAGCAGGGAGGAGGAGGCCCCGGGGCCCAACAAAAGGAGAGCGAAGGGCAGAAAAGGGAAATTTATGTATGCTGCCCGTGGCGCAACAACGCCATCTGCGTCGGAATTCCGTACGGCCCGTCAGTTTTTCGGTTTCCCGAAGATTTCGGTCAACCGGACAGTTGCGAGAAACCGTCGCCCCTTTTCGGGTTGAGCCGACCGTTCAGCTAATGATCCCCGATTTCCCGGTGGGTTCGGGACCGGAGCGACCTTAAAGCGCGCCGAAGGACCTCGGTGTCCTCCATTAATGTAATTATACACGTCCCGGAGGACTCCAAGGCCGTACACGCGTGTCGCCTCGACGTTCGGCTACCGCTCTCGGCTCTGTTTCAGCTACCTAGGCCGTCCAGGCCGATCTTGGACTCGCTTCCAGTCGAGCATTCGCGAGATCCATTACGATCTACATCGTTGAACAATTTTCCAACGGTTTCTTCTGCTTCGAAGTGGACAGAATTTAGGCGACAACATCGAGACACTCGAGTTTCAAGGGTTGGTCTCCGCTACTCGGCAATTGGGACAACAGGTTTAAAATCTCTAAACAATCGAAAGCTCTTACACAGTCGCAATGATTCGACCGCTACATTCTACCAACAAAGACGTCGTTCCTCGGACACGCGTGAAATTAGCATGGAAATCGCGCGGAAGATATCGAATGCGTTCGACGAACCGTTCGTTCGGCGAAAAATGGACTCCGGCCAGCGCGGAGAACGGGCTGAAAGGAAAAAGGAGAAGAGACAGTTTTCCTCGGCGTTGCCGAACATTTATCTCGAGTGTCACTCGAACGGAACTTTCACCGGCACAATGTCACACTACGTACCTACCTACCTTCCTCGGTTCGTTCACCCTTCCCTCGGCGCGACGCGCCGAAGGCGGTCGGTGTCCTCCGAAAATCGTGGTAATGGAGCTTCATTCAGCCGTCGGAGTGCGTCATTTGCATTTCTTGCGATTTATCTTCGTCCCTTCGGCGGCGGTTCAGCGGGCAGCCACTTCTCCGTGCTTCTTTGTCATAATAGATCGCTACCGGGGAGCACGGTGATCAACGGGGGCCGCCCGCGTGCTTGAACCGGCATTAAGTCGAATTCTTCGGTTGAAGTTGCAATCGGGGCTTTCTTCGACGGTGTCCGACTCTCGTGGCTCAGCTTTTTCCTCGAGGATCCTGGCAGATTCCCCTTTGATGGACGACGCTTTGATAAATAAGATTCTGCCAACGATCGCGAACCGTCCGATGGAAATCTGCGGACCGATATTGTTTCTTGCGGCATTTTCGATGGGAACGTTCGAGATCTTGTCGTTTGCGGAACTTTCAACGAATTAAGAGTCTGCGAAGGATATTTCGTTTCTTCTATCGTTTGTCGGTGAGCGTGTATTTAGCTCCAATCGATTCGCATTAGAACGACGATCGAAAGGATACGCTCCTCGAGATACGTAGTTTGCTTGAAAATTGCACGGTACGATGGTTCGGAACCCAGGAACGATAACAACTGCAACCAGTTACAGAAGCGACCGCGACCGTAATCCTTATAATAGCAGAATTTCACGCAGCCTCGATTCATCGATCATACCGAGGGAAATTGAGTCCTCGATTCCGGCGAACGTTTCAATTAGCCCAGTCACGTTGCAATCGGCGGAGTTATCTCCGGCCGTTGCAGCGAGGAAGGGTTGCGTCCGATGAAAGCCGGCCACGGGACGCGTCGGTGTTCACGGAACGAATCGTCTAACGCGTGGCTAACGCGAACCCGGCGGCTCGTCGCGACCTCAAAGCTGTGCCGCAATGCCCGCCGTCCCGGTCACCTCCTCGCGGACCGGCCGATATATCATTGCAAAGTAGCCGGGACTAAACGGAATCGTTTCCCGTCTTTCACGTCCGAGGGAATCCTTTCGTTCGCGATCGTTATCGAGAAGAATGCCCGGCATTCGTCCGGCTCGGAGATAATTCATTCGCTTCTTTCGGGGATCGTCATGGATCCCAGATTTCCTTTTCACGCGAAACTCTTTCCGCCGGTGGAACTGTTCGACGATCATCGATGCGTCTTGAACGGGCGCCCGAACATTTCACGGATCGTCCACGGCATTTTTCCCTTCGCGATAGGGAAAAGGAGGAGTTTCTTTTCTTTGTTTCTGTCTTTTCATCCCCTCGGAGTTCTCTTCGCGGCTCCGCTGAGGAAAGAAAGGATCATTGGGTGTACGGCAAGGTTCGGTTTGATTTTTTCATAATTTTTGGCTAAAGATTCGTCGATTTTTCCGATAGATTCGCGTCGGAACACCGAGAGAAAGGTAAGACGCTGAGCACGAGCGCAGTCTTAGCGAAGCGGGAAGCGCGACGGGTAGGGCAAAGGACCCTCGTTCTGCAAAATATCAAAGGCTCAGTAGGGAAATTGAAAGGCTTTGTATAGAAATAAGAATGTATCGACTGCCCCCGACAACCACTCACTCCGGAACAAGATTTTCGAATCTTTATACCCAAGAACGCGACGGGAATACACAATTTCCAAAATGGAAAGTGCTGCGTTGCTTAATGGAGTGCTAAGTAAACAGTTCCATATTAACAAAGAAAAATCCGATAAACTCTATCGATATACGAACGCAAATTAATCGCGATGTCTGTCGTCAATTTGGTAAATACAAAACACTAACTTTAAAAATCGGACACGCTGATTCCCTACTTGTATCGAACGCGCGTGTTTCAATTTAGATTAGCTTGAAATAACATTTTCATTTTCTTAACCTTATATTACGAATAAACGTTGCAAACTGTAAATGACGATTTGCATTAACATTTTATTTTTCTATTTAATAAATTCGCATAGACGTGTTCACCAGCGCCATCCGTGGCGGTTCGCTCAAGCTGTTCGCATAAACCTATATCTTGTGAGGTATACCTATGATCGATAAAAACGTTCTCTGCAATGATCCTGATACCGAGCTAATGACTGCAAATTGATTTTTCTATTTTGCATAGAATACAAGAAAATCTTTCGTTGGAATAAATCGCGAGGACAGATGGCTTGTCGCGTCTGCAGATTTGACCGACTGCAGCCATTGCAGCCGACATGTTCTTCAAGTTTCACGTCGTAATTTATGGAGGGCGCGACGACCGGTTTTCCACACGGTCGGTATTACAGTAAGTCAGTGCTATAGTACTCTTCGTCGGTGGTTTGACCAACATACCAGAAGTATCGGAGCGCTTCGAGCAAGTAGTGCCAATAGTCGAAGTTGACAAGTTGAAAAAGCCGAACATGGCGGTTGCAACGAATTCCTTCGATTGCTGGCTCAGTAGCAAGCTGCAGGCTTTAAATACTGACGAAGGTGTGTTCGGATCGTATATCAAAGGAATTTTAGAAGGTGATGAGACGGAGGATGAAAAGACCGAAGCCCTAGAAGGCATACTCGCTGGCATAACGGTGAGGAGCACTCGGACTGTGAGGTTAGAATGCGCTTGCTGTTCGTAGCCGAAATTTATCAGCCGGTCAAAAATAACAGTCGGATATTTCAGTTTTTTTTGTCGTCGACTTGCATGTGCCCGCACAGGCTCGGTGCATCGTGCATCTCGTTTTGCGTGCATGATTCAATTTTGTTGTCGCGTTCGTTGTACCTTTTAATATCCTTGTATCGAGCGAGTGTGAAAGTACTGACAGTTTTCTATAACATTATTGTAACTCGAATTCACGAATCTCTTCACCTTGATAATAAATGTAAATTCAATTATCTATTTAGGTGTATCGTGCTATGCACATTTTCGTCGACCTCATCCTCTATTTGTGAATGTAATGTTGGGCCCTGATGATTTTCAGGACGACAACATCAGTAATCATGTGACAGAAATATTGAGCGCCTGGGCCAAATGGCTGCCGGTTCAGGACATCGATGCTTCCAAAGAACCAATGGAAGACGTGGACGTTAGATTGGCAAAGATGCTGGAATCCCAGTCTTTGCCGACCACGACGCAAAAGAGTTACACGGAGGAAGAGAGGCGAATAAGAGAGGCCATTCTTGCACAGTACAGTCAGATGTCGGAGGAAGAACAAAGCGACGGCGATGGAGAAGAGAACGGCGCGAACGGAGGAGACTGTGGTATCGAAAAGAATACAAATGCTGCTGCGATAATTCAGCAAGAGAAAGAAAAGAGGGAGAAGGCTAAGCTAGAGAGTCAGAAGAAGAAGGAGAAAGATAAAGAAGATCGGTATGTTAGGATAGTAATAGTAGTAATGATAAGAGAAAGAGAATTAGAAATGCGCTAATACTAAAATTCTTGTTTGTTCAGAGAGAAACAAAAGCAATTGAAAGAAGAGAAAAAGGAAAAGCGTAAGACACAAAAGGGAGAACGAAGGAGGTAGCAGTGGGACAACGGGACATTAAAGTTTATCTTGAAATTGAAAATAATCAAACGCAATCTAGCATACGTATACATCTGTATTTATTCTTGTGCATGTAACGATCTCCAGCAACTATTTAAATTACTTTACTAATCCACCCGTCTCGAAGAGTATACTTTCAGATGAAATACCAAACATATATGTGTAGCCGAGTAATATTAATTACATCTCTGTGGTATGTAACATTACAGCCTGTGCCTTCTGTCTGTTGAAAATCTCTGTAAATCGTCTACTCTCGTGTGAAATAGTTTTCTATCTACGCGTTTCCCGTTCTTCTCGTGACGTTAACGTTTATCGATCATTGTTTCATCTTTAAGAAGGATATAATCTAAGATTATTTTCCTGTTCAGTTCCGTTTAATTTTAAGCTGCAATCATACAAAGTTTCGTTATGAAAAGAAAATGAACACAAGCGAATGATTTGTACTTTGTAATTACCCCGCTTAGCTTATGTTATCTTAACTGGATCATGTATTTAATACTGATTCATTGAATAAATCATTTAAATAATCAATCACCGACTCACCTGTGGCCATTAAAAGGACACGTCCTTCTAAAGTACGAGTAATCGGTGTCCGCGCAGGGTACAGTTAACTGATCGAACTGCATGCTGTTCTTGTATTTGTATTTTTTATTAGTATATATTTACACACAAGATACCGTGTCGAAACCGAGTCATCTTGGTATTGCATTAATAATGAAAGACAAACGCAGTAAGATAAAAACAAACGAACAAATGATACAAAAGATGATGATGATGCTTCAGTATTGTATCGTTACATGTACTAATGTCATATTATCATAATCATTTATTATTAGCAATTCTTTTCTTCATTCACTATAATTAAGTGGGCAGAAATTGACGAACTCGCACTTACACGATATAACAAGGTCTTTCTCCGCTTATCAACGCAGAGTTACAAATGATCGTTGTAACTCTTCCTCTCTCTCTCTCTCTCTCTCTCTCCACTGTTCAATCTCTCGCTCTCTTTCACTCTCTCTCTCGCTCTCTCTCGGTCTCATTCGTTCACTCACACCTTCCCATAGTTTGTTTCTGTTTCTGTCTCCGTCTCTGTCTCTGTTTCCACATATATATCCTTTCCCCCTCCCATGCTTTTTGTTCTCCTCGTGCTTCTTCGTTTGTCATTTTTGCAAAGCTCGTTACAACAACAACAACAACAACACATCGAATCAAACGATCTCGTACAACGTCGACGACTCGAAGAATCAATAATAATAACTCCGAAAGTAACACACTCTAACGAATACCTAATAGAAGAAATCACGATCAGAAATCACGATTAGAACGCACGCCATCGATTCCGTTATCTCAACATGCGAAAAACTGCGTTATTATCAAAGGATACATATGTATATACACATATGGCTATGCATGTATATATATATATATATATATATATGTATACACGTATATTTATTATTACATTTTGTACATGCTTCTGTATTCACGGGACACGATCTATACCGACGCGAGTAAGTATACAACACACGAATCGTCCACTGGAGAGAACTCGACAACGACAAAGGAGAAACCATACACGGAACGCGGAAAATTTACAAATTCGGTGAACAGAATGCTTCGTCGTCCGGTAGCGGAGAGATCATTCCGCTCGCTGCTCGTTGCCCGACTTCCTCCCGCGGTCCCGGGGAAATTTCCGAACGGCGCGCGCTGGACGAAAGTCTATTTAGTCATGATTGTCCCTATCGAAGATACTACAACGAAAAGTCGAAAGGAAAAGAAACACCGATCGATGGATCATCCTTCTCTCGGCGGATCGGTCGAGTCACCGGACGGGGGAAGGGGGAAAGGAATTACGCGCGTTACGACGGACGTGATTTTGTACGGACGTAGATGATCACAGCACACGAGCGTTGTTGTCGGTTGGCAACAAGGTGCAGAGAAAATGGACAATCAAATATATTCGTAGTGTTCATGAATAGCGCACGAACAGAAGAATCGACGTTATATTATCATATATTATCTTTGAAAGTCGTCGGTATCGTGGACGACGGTTGTCGTCGGTGACTACTCGCAAAAGGAAACTCGCGTTTCGATTCTATGCCAAAGGATGCGAATAGAAAAAGAGCATTTTTCGTTTCGAGCAGAGTTCCCAAGCAACCGTCCTAGCATAAACGCAACGCATACTTTTGCTGGAACACTCTGTGTTTCGCCTAAAGAGAATTAAGTTACTCGCGCGTATGTTGTCTAAAGTCGTAACGCATGCTGTAACGGTTCGAAAGTTGGCAAGATCTTTATCTAGAATTCGATGAAATATTTGAACGACGAACGTTACTACGAAAACGTCCGCCATCTTTACGCTCGTGTGCCCGCGGCCTTAATCGAATCGCGTCGTTCAGCTGGGTAATTGTGTGCACGCTAACAAATACACGCTAAAAGCATTCCTCACGCTGAAGCCTGAAAGAGAGTCCATTTCTGTCCGTTCCCTGTCCTCGCGAATTGTCGAATTTCCGAACTTTCGGACCGTTCTCATCCCTCGTGAATCCTCGTCCTGGGCCTAGGACTAGAAAGCGGCGCTACCGTGGTTCCTCGTTCGTACGGATTCCGGTGATCGCGATCGAGATCGAAACCGAAATCGAAGCTCGAGCAACCCCCTCGTTCTTCCTTCCCACGGGACTCTTGTCTTCGTTCGGTCAGCGTACCCGGCGGTACGTTTGTTCGCTTAGCTTAGGCGCGCCGAGCGTTGGACATTTTAGTCGATCCTAACGCGCGTTATTTGATCCCACTGTATACAATATAGTGAACACAACTAAAAACCTCGACGGACTGTACAAACCGGCGTGAACAATTGGCGAGTGTCGGGGAAAGAAAGGACACCTGGCTAGGGGGTGGCCGCGCTAACCGCTTTGTTCTCTCGCGCCGAGCGTGCGTCATTGGCCGACGATCGGGATCGTCCGCAAGGAAACCGACGTCCAGGGACAACGACTTCTCCCGTTTCAAACGATTCCCCCCGCTGTTAAAACGCTCAACGGCCGCGCAATTAAGCAATTCCACCAGATGACCCGGCTGCGACGGGACAACATGGCCGCGATTCAACCGTCATCGGTAACCGTCGCAGCATTCGACACGAACGCCGGCACGTTTATAACGCCGATGAGTTTTCGCTAACGAGAATTGGCAACTGGGCTCTTCGACTGCTCTAAATGTTCTCTATAGTTTTTGAATAGAAACGAAACACGTTACTCTCCGTTCTACTACGGCCGAATCGTTCCCCGCTTCTAATGGATATTCGAGCGCGGAGAGTAGCTCTACGAAGCACAGCCGCTAAAGAAATCACAGGACAAAGGGGCCAACGAGATGAACACACGAATTCAATTGACTCGATTTGAAGGTGTAACGCGAACGTTTCGTTCGGTAGAAGCCTTTTCCCCCGCGGATTGAATTCCCCGCGGCGCGAGCCGATCGACGAGAACTATCGCGCATCCTCGGACAGTACAAAGGGAGAGGTAAAGGAGCACTGTAACTCCGTACAATGGAACTACGTAGTTCGAACGGCTTCGCGTCCTCTAATTACGTCTAAATGGGTTTACCCTATTCATATTTAAACTCGTTACTTGTTCGCATTCTGCTTGGGTCTCTTAATTACGTAAAATCGTATATGTATATTATATATAGTTATGTATATGCGGTAATGT